CTGATCCAGGGATTCAGCAGCAGACAGCCTGTTCCACAGTCCAGATAAGTCAGAATATTTCCTAATTTGTTTATTTTTTAAGGTGATTCAATAAGAAGTGAAAGAAAAAGAAAATTGGGGTGCACATTATTATTATTACTATTATTATTATTATTATTATTATTATTATTATTAACAGATTACCCCTGAGAAAACGCAGTACTTGAGGTGGCGGTGGTGGTGGAGAGTTGCTACCTCCGTTTTGAAAGATCCAGGTTTGCTCTGCAGAGTCATGTTTTTGTTTTTTAAGATGGGCAAAAATGTTGACATGTTCATATAAACTAGAGATCCATTATGACTTATTCCTGGAACGGTTTCTTAGAAGCCTTGTTCTATGGGAGCAAATGTTTCATAACCAAAGGGGCAGAGCTGAAATTTCATCCCCAAGAAGTTCCTCCAACTTCCTGCCCAAAACAAACAATAAAATAACTCTCGCTGTATGTCTCTGTGTGTGAACCCACTGCAGACGGGCACAGATGATGCAAACACAGCTGTGACTGTGCGACAAGAATTAAATCCTTTTCTGATATGTTGCATTTGGACCAAGAACCTAATTTCGCCCTCAAGTATGCTAACTGTAAAAAGTAAAGGTAAAGGTACCCCTGCCCGTTACAGGCCAGTCGTGTCCAACTCTAGGGTTGTGCGCCCATCTCACTTAAGAGCCCGGGGGCCAGCGCTGTCCGGAGACACTTCCGGGTCACGTGGCCAGCATGACAAAGCTGCATCTGGCGAGCCAGCACAGCACACGGAAACGCCATTTACCTTCCCGCCAGTAAGCAGTCCCTATTTATCTACTTGCACCCAGGGGTGCTTTCAAACTGCTAGGTTGGCAGGCGCCGGGACTGAGCAATGGGAGCACACCCCGCTGCGGGGATTCGAACCGCCGACCTTTCAATCGGCAAGTCCTAGGCACTGAGGCTTTTACCCACAGCGCCACCCGCGTCCCTATGCTAACAATAGATGTCTATTATTAGGCATATATCCATGTGGGTCCGCCTCACACACATGATCACGTAATCAGTCTCTTATCTCCCTCAGAGACCATTATTATTACGCCAACAGGTGCCAGAAAGGTGGCACAACCTTATCTGCTTCCTTCCTCTGTCCTTTTTCAAAGGGAGGGGAAAACCCAAAACACAGGTTTCATCTAACAGAACATTTTATTTCTAGTGCTTAAAAACAGAAGCCAGAAAGGCTTCCTCTGCCATACCTCCTCCTCGTTAACAACTTTACATAACAGCCAAAGTATTAATCATAGCATCCTCACAGCAACAAGGTCATTTCAGTCTTTTAGGTTTACAAAGCTCTATATTGATTGTGTCAAGGCTCTCTGAAGAACCAGATATCCCTCTGTGAGCTTCCCAGGCTTTGAGATCTTCTCTTGGTCCCATGGCCTTTGAAGGCACATTTTGTGTGGACACGAGAGAGGGCCTTGTCAGTAGTTTCTCCCAGATTGGGGGACTCTCTTCCGTTGTGGGCTAGGCTGGCTCTTCCTTTGCTTGGCTTTCATCAGTAGGCAGATATTTTTTGGTCCAGCAGACCTTTGGCCACCAACTGGCTGTTCTGCAGGGTCTGCTGAGGGCATGTGTTGAACTGAGGAGAGAGAGACTTAAGGCTCTCTGGGCCTATATATAATTATAAATTGTGTGTCATTGTTTCTCAATTTGATCCTTTTACATAGTTTCATATGTTTGTGATTTGCTGTTATTTTTATAGATTATAGATTAGTAATTCTTTATTGTAACTGATAAGTGTAAACTGTTTAATTATTATTTGTGATGTTTAATTTTACTGTTCCCTATTGGATTCTATTGGATTTTTGAATATTGCTTTATTTGATAGAAGTTGTTTATTTTAAAGTTATTGTGACTTTTTATACTGGATCAGATTGTTACTATTCATGTTTGATGCTGTATTATTTTTATGTGTGTTGGAAGCCGCGCAGAGTTTGTGTGTGCATGCTTTAAAATGGTTAAAATATTTGCAGTGCTGTTTTCAATAGAGTTACTTCTTTAATTGATTTTTAAAATATTTATATGTATTGTGTGTGTTTTAGTTGTATCTGATTTAATTTATGCTGTAAGCTGCTTTGGGTCCTGCAGTGGGAGAAAAGCAGAACATAAAATGAATGAATAAATAAATGAATGAATCTTTTCTTTCTATTGATATCTTGAAAAATAGCAGTGGCTCTATGAGCAGTGCCTCTAATAACAGTGAAGATGATGACAATTTGGGCATGTCTCCCATCACTAGTTACTCCTCTGTTTGTGAAGGGTTACTGGGAATTGTAACTTTGCCGGGTAAACTACAGTACTCAGCATTTTTTGAGGGAAAGACTGTGCTTCAAATGTGCTTTAAAGACACAGTGTATACACAGCCATTGTGTCTGTTAGTTTCTAGCCTACCTTTCTCCACGACATGGTATTTTCTATGTGCAGGGACTATTATGTATGGAGGAGCATCTGGTCATGTGAGTGCCCACCTGCGGCCTGAAAATGGCACAGACCACCAGGTGCAGGCCTGCCTTCTCTTCTGTTTTTGAGAACTAGGTCAATTTGAGCTGCAGCATCTGCTCATTCTGCATGAACTTTTCACTGGCACACTGAGATCAAACAATAAAAAAGCTGGAAAAAGAGACAGGGGCTGCGAGCCCACTTACGTATTAACTTCCCTGAGATCATTTACATTAAGCAAAAAGCTTTGGCGTAGATGCCAGTCCCATATAAAATGTTTTTATTCCTGCATGTGGTTCCCCCCCACACACCCCTTAGATGGTCGTAATGAAAAATTAAACAGAAACCAATACAATAATTGCAACACATGGCACAGTTTTAATAAGACCGTCTTTTGCTAATAAATAATACAAGCTGTTATTCATGAGGCTCAGATATCAAGCACTTCTTTTTTAAAAAAGACAATCCACAGAGCCAGCAATGTTTCTTAGCTGCATTTAATTTCATTTTGTTTGACAAACAAGTCCAGCTGTTTAATGTCTTACGAAGAAAAAGAGAGAGATGAAATAAATTGTTTGAAGCAAAACATCTAATTCAATTTGCTCCCATATGTGAAATATGAATGAGGACATGATGGGATTTTGTAGCTCATGATCTCTCAAACTGTCGACTTTCACTGTCGTGTCTTAGAATGAGTGTGGAAGTTGCCCATCTGCCTTGAGGCCAAGGCCATTCCGCAACAACTCAACTTAATCTGCCACCACCACCCAGTTTACCTATCTCTCAAAGGAGAGTTGTAGGTTACGTTTCTACCCAGGAGGGGACAACTAGCAACTACAGTGGTGCCCCGCAAGACGAATGCCTCGCAAGACGGAAAAACCGCTAGACGAAAGGGTTTTCCGTTTTGAAGTTGCTTCACAGGACGAATTCCCCTATGGGCTTGCTTCGCAAGACGAAAATACCTTGCGAGTCTTGAGATTTTTTTCGCTTTTCCCCCTTTATCTAATCTGCTAAGCCTTTAATAGCCTTTAATAGCCTTTTAGCAGCTAATCCCCTAAGCCTTTAAGCCTTTAATAGCCGCTAAACCGCTAATAGCGCTAATAGCGCTAATCCGTCAATGGGCTTGCTTCGCAAGACGAAAAAACCGCTAGACGAAGACTCTCGCGGAACGGATTAATTTCGTCTTGCGAGGCACCACTGTAGTATCTTCCACTAATGGCTTGACATGATAGCGCAGGAGTTCAAAACCTGTAGCAATCCAAGTGTTTTTGGATTCCACTTTTAATCAGCCCCAGATAATGGCCGGGTATGATTGGACTTGGAGGCCAACAATATCTGGAGAACTTCAGGTTTCCAATCCCTGTGATACCAGATAGAATTTGCCTTAGACCAGGGGTGCAAAACCTGAAGTTCTCCAGATGTTGGTGGACTATAACTCCCACCATTCCTGAATACTGGCAATACTGGTTGAGGACTATGGGAACTGGAGTCTAGTAAGACATCTGGCTAGATAGGAGAGGGGGGGCACAAGCAGTCTTTGGATCACTGAGGAAGACTCACATGGCCCTCAGAAAAACTCAGATGATCTGTCTCCTCATGTGCAAAGGATAAGGGATGGGAATTAACAGCAAGATTATTGAAGGAGAAGGTTTATGCCCCTCACCGTTTTCTGTATCACATAAAGCTATGCTGTCGCTCAATGCTTTGTGCTTGCCTGTGAAATATTATTTCATGTTATATATCACTTAAAAGTTAATAATGATTAGTGTCAGTGCAGAGTGGCAAAGAGAGAAGTTAGCACAGTGGAAAAGAAAAGAAAGAAGCAGTGCAACCCACCGCCTGAGCATACAAGTGTGTTTGATAAGATATTTCCAGAGGAAGAACAGTAAAGATTAACTTCAAACCTTCAGGGGTCACTTTAGTTTCATCTTCAGTGACTAGTTAATTTGCCCCTGTTGTGTGTTGTAACTTTGGTTCGGTAGCAGGTGAAAGTCTAAACAACAAACTGCATGTGTTATTAAAACAAAGGGAGGGGGAGTACTTAGTCTAACCTTCCTACCCAGATTCTTCTCACTGCAGTGTCCTAAATATGCTGAAAGAGAAAGCCAGGTCTTCAGATTCATGCAAACCATGTATGGCTTCCTATCCAAAAGCTCCAAGAAAAAATGGAGGTCAGAACCTGTGATAAGTGAGAGAGCTGGTTCATAAGTGATGCTAAGCCAAACTATGGCTTAGTATGGACATGTAAGCATGAAGGCTCCCAGAGAAGATATTGTAGCTCTTTTGGTTTTCCTACTGCAAAACTGCTGTGAGCGACACCATGGTTTGGTACTCGTATGTCATCCAAACCCAGACTCGTGGTTTCTCTCACTCAAGACAAACCATGAGCTGCAACCAAGGTTTGCCTGTGGCTTTTCTTGAGGCTTCAGCAAAGAATCATAGAATGATAGAAGAGTTGGAAGGGACCATGAAGGTCATCTAGTCCAAACTCCTGCAATTCAGGAATCTTTCACCCAACATGGGTCTTGAACCCATGACCGTGAGATTAAGAGTCTCATGCTTTACCAACTGAGCTATCCCTCAGGGAGCAGCACCGTCCCATTTTGCCTCAATGAAATGTGATGAGCCATCCTTGTTCACCATGGTTTGCTGTCTCACCCAAACCAGCAAACTGTGGTTAGTGTTAACTATGGTATCTTTGAGACTGACCTCATCAGCAATACTGTGAATACAAGTTTGATGTTTTCTAATATATAAAATTCCAGTGTTGCAGAACCTGAACACATTAGTAAGTTTAAATATGAACCCTAAATCATGTTAAGTTATGAATTATTTTATTTTTACAGGGATCAGTGGTACATTATTCCTCTGTCAAACATGTCTTTTCAACGGTACCGACTCAAATAGCTGGACAGACAAGATAACGTCTAAGTGACTAACTAAAGCATAGGGAAGTGATTGTTGTAGTGAAAGAACTGTCTGGGAATGCACACCACATGCACATAAACCTGAGAGCCCTGCACAGCTGCAGGCTGTGTCATATGGTCTAGCAATGAATAGACATGGTATGAAGACATGTTATAAAAGTCTGTAACAAGACTTTTGTTGTGTATTGATAGTTTTGAAGTGTGAGGTGCATTTTGCAGAAAGTCAGGCAACGTCATCAGAGAGGATGCAATAAAGAGAAGGAATGTGAATCCAAAACTGTGATGTCTTTGCATTAAAAAATATATATTTCCAAAAAGCCTATTTCACGATCCCAAGAACAAATTCACTTTTTTTTTTGCATTCTTGCTTTTCCCACTGTTAAATATCAGAACATAAGAATAGCCCTCCGGAATCAGACCAAAGGTGCATCTAGTCAAACAGTGGCCAACCAGATGCCCTTGAGAAGCCCCAAAACAGGACCTGCCCACTTGTAATTCCCAGTAACTGGTATTCAGAGGCCTACTGCCTCTAACAGTGGATACAGACACAGATATATTCAACTCCATCTCTTGGAGATGCAAGATCTGCAGAGCAAAAATAGAGCTCCCTCAACCCACAAGAACACACTATTGACTGCAGTGTACCTAAGGAGCTCAGCTTCATGGAAGGGGTGTGGGATGTGAAACACAAGAGCAGTCAAGTACAAAATCCTAGAGTGGACATAAAAGGGGATGTCTGGACCAGCCAGGTGGAAATTCCTTTTTCTCCTAGGTTGGGATAGACTTCCTCTCATGTGACCAGAGGTGGGCGTGACCTCACCTGCCCAGGTAACAAAAGAGCAGGACTGGTCAGCCATCTCTCTCTCTCTCTGACTACATTCTTCAAAGAAGCAATATCTGCTTAGCCAAAGATGCTCTTTGGCCAAAGGGGCTGTCTCTTTATGGGATAGATTCCAGGTGTATATTACTTTTGTAATTTAAGTCTGCCTTCTAGGATCCAATTGAGAACATAATGTGTGAGTAAACACACATTTGATAGAAGACTGTGTCGTGTCTATCTTTTTATGAGGGACAAAAGGGGAAATTACCAACGAAACTTATTATAGAGGCTTTAGCAAGCCTGAGCAAACACATCCACTGTGCAAGTTTAAAAAGGGGAATGTTACTCTGCTAAATTGTAGAACTTGTTAACACAAGTTGGAAAGAATATAATCAAACAATATATCCTCTCCTGCATCCCTGAACATTCCCACAAGGGGCAGCTGAACTGCTCTTCCGTGAAGTGAATTAGGAAACTCATATGCACACTCTTAGGAGTTATAGGGATGGAAGTCCCCCCAAAGGTTATCAAGCGGTTTATGTATGTAGTATCTGCAGCTAGGATTCTCCATGCACAAAAATGGAAGGAAGAAGTTCCCAATAAAGAAGAATGGATAAGTAAGGTGATGGTCTACGCAGAATTGGGAAAGTTAACAGCCAAAATAAGAGAACCTAATGATTCATGTTTTCAGATTACTTAAAGAAATATTATAATATGGTGAACTCATGAGCAGGATTTGAACTATGAGTAACAGAAGAAATTAGAAATTATAGTAATGTTGTTATGGTATAAGAGATAGAAGACAGGATGCAACAGAGGGAGAGAAATAAAAACACCATGGAAAATGGGGTGGGAAGTTGACAAAAGAAAAGAAAAAATTACTCTGCATTGAAGTTTATATGGTAAACTTTGGAAAACTTAAAAAATATATATAATAAGAACGGAAGATCATATGCACAAAAGCTCTGAATGCAGTTCACATAAAAGCACACCAGGCTACGGTCAAAAAGTGCTCACAAATCAGTCATCTTGGTTAAGAGCACAATGTGAAGTATTTAAAAAGTCAGTGGAACACTGAAGATGAAATGCTGACTCTGAAAAAATAATGGCAACATTTCTTTTGGCTACAACTGAATCCATATTTTTTTATTCCTGTAAAGTTGAAACTATGGCTGTATTATAGGCCAAAATTCTCATAAGAACTCAATGCTTCATCCAACAACTGGAAAGAATGTTGTAACTGATAAGTATCAAGACAAAGGTTCCAGTATTTATGTGCAGTCTGTGGTGTCCCCCTCTTTTTAGCCTCAAAGCCGCTAATGAAACATGATCTTTTAAACAAATAAAGAAAATCATTTTCATAACCAGATTATATACTAGGAATTAAGATGCTATCCAAAACATCAAACAGCAATTACACTCTTCGCTTCTATTAAAGAGGCATTTACAACCAACCATGTTCTGTTTGCATATGCTCCACATTTATGTAAATTATTTTACATTGTTAGTGGAGCAAATACTTTCAGTGCTGAAGGTTATAGGATCTTGGTTGAAAAGAGCTTAGAAAGATCGCCTGAAATCTTGGTGAGCCTACCTGAGCTGCCACCAGTTCTCTGAAGAGACTGTACTGGGCAAGATGGGGCCAACTCTGTATGTCAGGGGTTGCAAAGGTGGGGTCCACAGGCACACATGTGCCCAGAGATGCCTTCCCTGGTGCCCATGGGGCTCCCCTCCCTTCACTGAGATCAGGCCTGGAGGAAAGATTCCATCATAGAATGGGTCGCAATGTGTTCTTGGTTGCAGGATGTGTATGGTGTCTACAACATTTTCTCAGGTTTGCAACTTGGGCTCTGTGGTTGGGTGGGTGTACACACAGAAAGAGTAAATTCTGAATGACAATAATGTGATAACAATGGCAACATCTTCTCCCCAATTTTGTCATTTTGTGACTCTCCCGCCATAGCAACATGCTTCTGTTTTTCAGCCCTGAAACAGGCACAGTGGTGCCTCGGGTTAAGAACTTAATTCGTTCTGGAGGTCCGTTCTTAACCTGAAACTGTTCTTAACCTGAGGTGCCACTTTAGCTAATGGGCCTCCCGCTGCCACCATGCAATTTCTGTTCTCATCCTGAGGTAAAGTTCTTAACCCAAGGTACTATTTCTGGGTTAGCGGAGTCTGTAACCTGAAGTGTCTGTAACCCAAGGTACCACTGTATATTTCTATTCCACTTTTCAGCAGCACAGCACATAGGGGCAGGGCACACTGCAGGGCCTCCGGAGTCTGCCTGCCTCCTCCCACTCAGCCGCCCTACAGCTGGGGGGGAGGCAGCAGGTGGACCGTTTGGGCAGTGTGGAGCTGGCGTGCGCCCAAGCCACAGCATCTCTCCCAGGAGTGAGTGCCGCCCGGCATTTTGTCACCCCCCAGTGGTGACCCCCAGGGTGGCCCACACCCACCGCACCAACCGCTGGTTGCAGTCAGACACAACATTGTGTGTCACAATCATTTCTCCGTTTGATGAAAGTCCTCCACAGAGTCAGAATCAGCAGAAAAGGCCACATGAGGCAGTCCAGGGACTCTGATAATCAAATAATGTTTGATTACACCCTTCTCTGAAACTCCTGGTTTTCTTCTCCTTCTTAAAGAAAACTCTATCACTGATTCTTCCCAGTTACAATGATAAACATTAAAACGAACATTTTGTTCTGTCATGAGAGAGAGAGAGAGAGAGAGAGAGAGAGAGAGAGAGAGAGAGAGAGAGAGAGAGAAGCTGGAGACTTCTGTTTGTCATTAGAATTTGAAAGTGGGACCGTTACTTTTGGCATGGGAGACGTCCATCACAGAGCTACTTTCTGTTTAGTATTGAAAATCCAGGAATTTAATCCAGCCTTGGCACCAATGAGGAACTTTCTTTCTTTCTTTCTTTCTTTCTTTCTTTCTTTCTTTCTTTCTTTCATCTTGTAGCTGCATGGCACGCCATTATTCAGGGAGGGGAAACACCATGGCTGGGAGAGCAAAGGAGCAAACTTCCCCTCCACATGTACTACCATCTCAGTAATAATTGCCCCCTGAAGCTGTAATTAATTTAAGAGAAACAAGGTATGTGGCTGCATGCTATGTGCTAAGCATAAGGTTTAGTTTGACCCTAAGTAGCAACAGCTGCGAAGATGATGAACAGCAGCTGCTACTGCCTGCTTTTCTCATCAGCGTTCTCCCTAGCAAGCAAGGAGCCAGCTGTAGTGGTCATGATGGAGAATGAGGGAGGAGGGTCTTAGACCCTTGCCTCCAGGGGCCCCTTTATGACCCTGGTGCAAGGGGTATGCCTCCATCCATCCATCCATGTAATTTATTTGCAGGGCTGCAAAGTCTATTTCATGATGCCCCAGTGGCATATAAATCAGAGATGTGGTCAAGCAGCAGTGGGAATGGATGGTGCTGATCAGCCCAGTGCTGAGGAGTGAAGCACTTGGGGAAGTGGTTGCAGCCACCATCTTTATTTTCCTGCCTTTCTTCCATCCCCACCCAAGATGGTGTCCATGTGTTTCTCAGTCACCCATCCAGGTACTGGCCAGACCTTCTTAATTTCAGCAGAGTCATGGCCTCATGTACCTTCAGGCCATAGACTGGACCTGTGGTTCTCAAAGGGTATGTTGTGCTACACTGGTGCGGCAGGAGAGGATGGCAAATGTGGCAAGAGGATTCAAGAACAATCAAAGAAACATTTAAACATATCAGTGTAGTATAGTATCAAAATAATTCTTTTAATTTGCAGAATATGGGCAGATATCTTTTCAAAATGAGAGAAACAGCAACAAGGGATAGTGAGTGCAATTCTAGTTGTGATCCAAAATCACCATTCAAACAGAGTGCTGGAGAAGACTCGTTTATCATTATATTTTGGGCATGATTCATGGTCTTATGTGGCTGCATTGTCTTGTGCTTTCTGGATGTGCCACAATTATCTAATAAAGTAGTTGTGTTCTATGTTATAACTCATACATTTCTAGGAGTTGTTTTCCAATGTATTTCTTATCAAAAAAAAAATTGGTGTGGCATGAAAAAAAAATTATTCTGAAAGTGTGGCCCAAGAAAAAAGTATGAGAACCACTGGCCTAGACCATACCCAAACATGTGTTTTTAAAAAGGGAGACAGTGGTTTCCGTCATGGTGAACTCTCCTGAGTGTATGGGCCCCATTATCTGCCAACTTACCGTATTTTTTGCTCTATAAGACTCACTTTTTCCCTCCTAAAAAGTAAGGGGAAATGTGTGTGCGACTTATGGAGCGAATGCAGGCTGCGCAGCTATCACAGAAGCCAGAACAGCAGGAGGGATTGCTGCTTTCACTGCACAGCGATCCCTCTTGCTGTTCTGGCTTCTGAGATTCAGAAATTTTTTTTTCTTGTTTTCCTCCTCCAAAAACTAGGTGCGTCTTGTGGTCTGGTGCGTCTTATAGAGCGAAAAATACAGTATATCAAGTGAAGATGCTGGACTTGGGCAACACATTGAAAGTATCTTGCCTGGAAGTCCTCCAAAACTTGGAGTCAGCACTGAATTCAGAATTAGCTGGAAAACTCAGCATACTTTAAGACCCAATGTGCCCCTAGATAAAGTTATTTTTTTAAAAAAAAAATGTTACTAGATTCTGAAAGTCCTCTTTCTTTTCTGTTACCTGTCTCCCTTGATATGCATACCACTTTGCTTCCTTTTCTCTCTAGGAGCTCATATTAGAGTTGGAACATGAATGGTCAAAGATAGAGATCTGAGGTAGTTTACTTTTCCCCTAAAAAACCTCCATCTGTTTTATACTCAACAATCCCAGCTTTCTCTTTAAAAGTCCTTTTGGAGCAAGGCAACTAAAAAGCCATCTGTAGTGTGCTTGAAACCTTATGCCAGAAACCACTAATTCACTTCAGCTTGTGCACAATGTTTGACAGCTGGGAGAAAGGGATCACATGGCTCTCTCTTAGCGGTCCCCCAGCTCCCTACTAAAGAAACTCATCCAAAGACTTCTTTAACTCTTGGGCATTGTCTGCTGAGCTTACTGATAGGATTCCCAACTTTTAAACTTACCCCTGTAGCTTTCCACTTGGTCTAAAGCAATTGGTACATGTTATAGTAGATGTTGCATCAAATGTCCATACAATGTACACATTTTTGTTCACCGTTGCATGAAGTGAGTGATTCTCACTGTTCAGTGTGTATATGGAGGCATTTTATTTATTTGTGCATTGGATCCCACTAATTATGTTTGCTGATGTAATCAATTTCCGGATGGTATTCCAGTTGGCATCAAAGCAGGAATGAATTGGAAGTAAGCATTCACAAAACCACAGAATATTACGATGAACATGTGTTGGAAAGGCAAATCACACTATTCCACATTGCTATCACTGTGGTTTCAAAGACAAAGATTCCCATCTATGCAAAAGTTCACACAGCCATAAGCACATACAATGGAAAAGTGTTCAAATGTATTCAAGTTCCCCTGAACATATACACTTTGAATATGAATGTATGTGTGTCCACTCATCATGTCCACTTGTACATGAATACAAACAACCTGAATGCATTTGCAATGTTATGCTTGTACAGGACTAATGTGACTCAATGCCATTGACTAATTTTATCCTCTATTAATTTTCTAACCATTTTTTAAAGCCATTTAAGCTAGGGGTCATCATCGCATCTTATGGTTTCTATTCCTGGATAATTCCCAGAGTTCTTGTAAGAAAGGGTAGCCTTAAGACATGTCTTGTTTTGGATACAAAAGTCAGTAAATGCCCTACAGTGCAGCGGTCTAAATGTATGGGTATTTCTGAGCTAAATTTAATTTTCTGTTATTCCAGGAGGATGGGGAAATGATGGGAAAGGGCTTATTTCTTTGGTTGAGTCCTTAGAGACCAAATCTCACCATCCTCACAAAATGTTGTATGTGCTTCTCCCATATGTAATTGAGCTTATGTTGGTTTCTAAAAATACTGCAAGTTATACAGCATATGACTAGCCAATGCCCCTTGGCTTTCCTACTCATGTGGAAACTTCAAAGATTTTCTTTAACAATGGTGTTTGAATATGGAATTCATATGACTGTGCGTAATAAACAAGGCATTTTCATTTTCAAGTTGACTTGAACTGTGTGCTGTCCATCTGTACATTAGCTAATTGAGTGAAATTACAGATGGGACATGATAAAATGCTGGGAAATATATTTTCCATGCATATCTATGAAACAGTATTGTTATTTGTTATAGTCATAAGCCATTTTGTGTTGCTTACAGAAGACTGTCAAAAGAAGTATAACGAACAGAGTGAACCAGGCACAGCAAATTATTTATGCTCATCACAATATTAATTCTTTATTGTGCAAATATCAGGATCATCAACATGTTTAGATGCAACAACCCCTCATGAAAACTCATTCTCTTCTCATCTGATCCAAATCTATTCTGGGGGTGTAAAAATTAATGTTTGGGGTATAAGCAAGGGGTTTATTGTCTGTCTGTCTGTCTGTCTGTCTGTCTGTCTTTTAGTTGGTTTACAAGTTGCTTTGGGTTGCCCTGGACAAGATAAGCAACTAACAAATTTAAAGAAATAAAGAACCAAGCAAGGGAAAATGGACTGTCTTGGCCACCAGCTCCCTTGGCTCTCACCCAGCCTTCCCTAGGAACTTCAGTTAGAGGCCTTGAGTATGAGGTTTATCAATTAGAGGAACTGAGATAGGTGGTTTTTATGTTTTGCAATCTAAATTTATAAAAGCTTGGGAGGGGTCATTAGGGGTTAGTGCAAGGAATGTCAACATGTTGCCTGTGAGTGTGCATGTGTCTGCAGAGGCCTTTCCTGTGGTGCCCACAGGGTCCTCTCCTCACTGAAATTAGACTTGACATAAACATATTGTAACCTATATCATGAGGGGGTTATTTGTGTGTGCATGTGTTTTTTTGTGTGTGCGTACGCGCTGTGTCCGCAAGATCAAAAAAGATTGTCAACCCCTGATCTAATAACAACATCCTTGGGGCTATTTTTGTGTGTGAAGGCTGCCTTTGGCACTACACACTTGTCTGGGAAACAGCTTTTTTTGTTTTGGTGTTCTGTTTTCTAGAGCCAGCCAGGAAAGGGGTTGCCATGAGGGTGCCGTATCTTGACTACGGATGTGGGATCCTGATGAGAGGAGGGTTATGCTGTGGGAGGAAGGTCTGCCTGAAGTGTCTTGTGGCCATCTTGGCTTTTGCTTCGAGGCTAGAGTTGGGATCCCATTGACAGAGGGAAGGTCCTATGTCAGGCATAGGTAAACTCAGCCCTCCAAATGTTTTGGGACTACAACTCCCATCATCCCTAGCTAACAGAACCAGTGGTCAGGGATGATGGGAGTTGCAGTCCCAAAACATCTGGAGGGCCGGGTTTGCTTATGCCTCTCCTATGTGGACAAACGTTTGCGATCTTGGCTGGGTTTTATATAGCAAGGCCAATTTCAAAAAGCTGAAGGAGCTACTGGGTATGATCCCATGGTCAGAAATACTCAAAGAGAAGGGAGTTTCTAAAAGGAGAAATGTTTAAGGCCCAAATGCAGACAATACCAACAAGAAAGAAAAATAGGGCTGTTGTTTGCTAAGGGAGCTGAGGGTTGTCGGCAGGGCTTTTTCAGCAGGAAATCGCTGGAACTCAGTTCCAGCACTTATCAGGTGGGTACGACCACATTTGGAATACTGTGTACCGTTCTAGTCCCCTCACCTCAAAAATGATATTGTAGTGTTGGTAAAGGGTTCAGAAAAGAGCAACCAAAACAACCAAGAAGATGATTTCAGGGGGTTTTATAGTTTCCACCTGGGATGGGGAAACATTTTGGCTCCATGGGGTTATCCTTATCAGGAACAGCCTCATGGGCCAAATTTTTCAGGGGGATGAAACCATGCATATTGCAGACTATACTCCCCAGAAGACTGTCTCTGTGCAGATAAAACTCTTTTGAAAGGCAACAAGGACAGACTGGATCCATAGCTGAATGGGTAACACAGCTACATCTAATAGCAAGAGACTGTGCATCTCATGATGCCATACCTCTCAGCGGTCCTGGAAAGCAGGACACCCTGTTTATTTGCACTAGATTGTGGCAGCCATTTTCGGTGCTGTTATCTTAAGCCATGATCTTCCTTTTCTCAGGGCAAGAGTGCAACACTGGTCACATGATCCACCAAGGAGCGTATCCCAGAAGACGCACATCCCAGTTTTTGGTGTGAAAATGTTGGAGGGTATGCGATACAGATGACCGGATAAAAGACAGGATCTTGATGGGGTCCAGCTCCAAAGATATAGACATTGTTTGCAGTACAGCCACTTAACTTTAGAGGATGCAATGAAGTTTGAACAAACTAATTAAATGGCAAAAGCACATGTGCAGGTCTTGCAAACAGAAAAACCATTTTGCCAAAATGAGCAAAGTAAAAATATCAAACAGAAGAAAGTAAACATGATACAGGTGAGTGAAGGTTATACAAAATTGCCAACTTAGAGCAACTCTTCTTAGCAACCAACAGTCACATTGTTGGACAAGGAACCCTATGAAGGATACATAAGCATAAAAGTGGCAACCTGAGAAGGAGCTTGTAATTTAAGACAGATACACAAGTCAACTATATGCCATCACAAATATTCTGGGACATGCATGCAAAAGAGACAGAGCTAGAAACAAAAGAATTGCCAGCACTAACTGGATATGGAGGACAGCCATTCAAAGTACGTAGTTAGGAGGTACACATTAGATTGTGAACACCACAGCAATGTGCATATGTTGGGCATCCACCTTTTTGCCAGGAACAGGACCATATTTGGCATTTAATGTTTGTTTTGAAATGTTACAATTTTGCTGCCGGGGGTCGTGTTTTAAACAAACTGTAGTCATCATACTTGAATTTACATGTTTATTCTTTGTGAGCTGCCTTGGGGTACCTTTTTGGCTGAAAGGTGGCATATTAATAAACAGTAGCTGAAAAATCAGAGTGGCTGGGGAAATCCAGCCAGATGGGCAGGGTATAAATAGTAAATTAATAGTGGTAGTAGTTGTAACAACTACAACTTAATGAGGAAAGCAGGCTCCTAGCCACATTTAACTCACCATTTGGAAGATGGCTATTCAACTAGTGTTCTGGCATGTTCCAGAAGAACGCACATGAGGTTCTTGAAGGACTGCAAGAGTGTAAAGTCATGGCATGCTAATGGGTAGGGCCACACACAAAGAGCATGGTGACAATCTCATGGCATTACTGGAAAGATGCAGAGAGAGAAACTAAAGCTCAACCCACATAAGATGCAATCTGGAGTTGACACATGCTAAGGTTGGCTTAAAACCAGATTCGGAAAAGTTCAGCAGTGCAGTGGTTAGAAAGTCCTTGTAATAAGAGTTCGAACCAGGGGTGGGCATGTTTACTTGGCAGAATTATCACTGGACCAGCACAAGAGAGATCTGATTAAAAATAAAGCAATATAGACATGGGCTGCCACCTTTAAGACTGCATGCCAGCAGGTGAGGAAACGCATCACAAATGCGTCAGTACTTTGACGCAAGGAAAGAGGTCACAGTACAAGTAGATGCATCTCAGCATGAAGTAGGAGCAGTCCTACAACAGGAAGGAAAGCCAGTGGCATACATATCACACTTAATGACACCCACACAGAACTATGCCCAAATAGAAAATGAACTTGTTCACCACAGTTGTGGAATGCAAAAATTCCACCAATACATTTACAGCAGACCAGTAACCATAGGAACTGACCACAAAGCTGGAGAGTATCATGAGAAAGTCATTAGCACAAACTCCAGTCAGGCTACCAAGAATGATCTTAAAGTTGTTAAAATATTGTCCAATATTATTTGTGAACCAGGCAAGGAAGTACCAGTAGATTACACTTTATCTAGCTAGGATAACATCCTTCAACTCCAATTAAACAGAGGAAACAGATCTCAGATAACTAGTGCACATGGTGCTCAAGAATCTTCCAGCTACTGACAACATTGTAGAGGAAAACAGAGAGGAAATTAAAAGGGCAGAAAGCGTGCAGAAACTCATAAACTTCATAAAAGGAGGCTGACCAGACCAGAGAAGAAAACAAAGGTCCCTAAGGAAATAACAGAATAGTGGACTATAGAAGAAGACCTAACTATTGAAAATGGGCTGACATTTAAAGGAGAAAGACTAGCAATTCTACACAAATGGCACATGTTGTAGAAAATCCACATGGGGCTTTTCATAGAGTTGGAAGGGTCATCTAGTCCAACCCCCTGCAATGCAGAAATCTCATCCATGACAGATGGCCATCCAAACTCTGTTTAAAAACCTCCAAGAAGGAGAGTCCACCACCTCTCATGGGAGTCTGTTCCACTGCTGAACAGCTCTTCCTGTCAAAAAGTTTTTTTCCAAATCCTTAGTTGGAATCTCCTTTCTTGTAACTTGAAGCCATTGCCTTGAGTCCTACCCTCGAGAGCAGGAGAAAACAAGCATGCTCCCTCCTCCATGTGACAGCCCTTAAGATCTTTGAAGATGGTTATCATAGCTCCTTTCAGTCTCCTCTTTTCCAGGCTAAACATACCCAGCTCCTTCAAGTGCTGCTCGTAAGGCTTAGTTTCCAGACCCTTGATCATCTTGGTTGCCCTCCTCTGCACACGTTCCAGCTTGTCAACATCCTTCTAAGCCACTTCAAGCAAACCACAGCAGCGCATGGAAATGCCGTTTACCTTCCCACCGGAGCAGTACCTATTTATCTACTTGCACTTGACATGCTTTCAAACTGCTAGGTTGGCAGGAGGTGGGAAATATGGAAGGCAATCCAGTGAGCTTTCAGCTTCAAGTTTTCCACACATAAAAAGTGCCATGGCTTACAAATCTCACAGACCCCTTTACACCATTAACATACACCTGACTATTAAGCACAGTATTTTCCTATAACCCTGAACTTCAAACCAAGGCAAGGACCCTGCCTCTTCATTCTCAAATGCTGAGGCTTCTTTAAAGTCAAGTGTTAATGTTTTTGTAATGACCTGTGAATGTATATTCAGCAGAGATGAAGTGAGGTGACAGATTAGGTTACATTGGTAAGTGAGACTTCTAAAAGAGACTTCAGTCACATGTCGTTGGTGGAAATGACATGTGCACAATGCTCATTTTTTCCAAAAAGAGATCATCACGGGGGCATAATAATGCTACTTACAGCTACAGGAGGAGGGAGTACAAAACAATGTCAAGGAGAAGGGAAATGAAATCAGTTCCCACTGTGTATTCAATTAAGAGGACTGAACAAATCAAAACAACCTTGAGGAGTGCGAGCCTCCCTGATCTTTCTCAGAGCCTCTGATTTCTATATTTCACTTGGCAAGCAAAACAGAAGAGTCACCATCTCTCAAAAAGATACACCACAGACCTATCTCAAGGCATTTTGACAGAAGCAGCTCCACTCTCCTCTGTTTATTATGGGCAAGCAAGAGTTACACTGTAGAAGCTAATATGAAAGCTGTATCAAGTATTTATTCAAACTGCCTTAGAACGTCTGCCTTAACATGACCTGCTGAAGCCACTAACTTGATTGTCAAGCTGATTGTTTTGTAAATTGTTTTGTAAATTCCAGATAGGAAGGTTTCTGTAACTCCCAAGAATGAACCACTTACTTCTGAAATATGAGAATCTGAGGGGTAATGAAAATAAATATCTGGACATTATATATCTTTATCTCCATATCCTAATGTCCTCTCCCCCCCCCCCCCCCGCTTTTTATAACTTCATTTCACATTTTACTTTTGATTTTGGAACCTGGTGAGCAAAAGAAGAAGTTTAAAATGACTGACAGAGCATTTGTGAGGGAGAACTCCTACCTCTGAATTCTTCCCTACAAACCCATTCTGATTAGCATTACAAAGGAAATTGCTATGCCCTATGTTTTTCTGGTTTGACCCTTATAAGAGAGGAAGAAGGGAAGAAAGACAGCTCCACAAAACGAAATGGAATTTTAAAGACAAAATTGGGGTTTCCACTCTTCGTTTATCACTAGAAGTAGAAACAAAATGTTTCTCTTTCAGCCACGGTCATTACTTCAGAGGAAAGGATACAGATTATGCATTCCTGGTTGCCATTGGCAGTACTGCAGATTCCTTCCAAAGGAATCTTTTTGTCTTCTTTGGTTGCAGTTCATGTAGCTGATGATAAAATACTTCTAACCTTCATGGAGGAGGTCAGAGAAAACTTGTCACCCAACCAAGAGCAGACACAAGCAAGGGTAGCTCAGGCGGAAGAGCATGAGACTCTTAATCTCGGGGTTGTGGGTTCAAGCCCCACGTTGGGCAAAAGATTCCTGCATAGCAGGAGGTTGGACTAGATGACCTTCATGGGTCTACAATTCTATGATTCTGTGATCCCCAGGGTAGTCTGATGGGTCTGCACCTAGTTCACCTGGGTTTGCATTGCTGCATACTTACTGACTGCGCTCCGGAAAGTCGCTATTAATATTCTCTTTATGTAAAGCAGAACAGCAGGGATGCTGTGTGAATGAATCAGCTGAAGGCAGGAGATAGCAGTGCCTAATTATTAGTCATTGTGTTTAAGTCCTTGCAGTGATGCATTCAGAGAATTTTCAGCTGATTCATTCACAGAACAACTCAAGGCTAGAGATCTTTGCAGCGCTCTCATTATGAAACCTTTTCTGAAGCTTTTACTTTAATTGTATGTAGCTTGACTCCTAAGAGTAGGCTCCCCCCTAGAAGATGGTGAGGGACCTGTGGTTGTTAGACTCTGGACCATTCATACTGGTTGGGACCACAGGTTAGCCATCTCAGGAATGTCCCCTCTTCCAAGTGGTGTCTGAATGCACACTTTAAAGCACATTTGAAGCACGTTTCCCCCCCTCAAAGAACTGAACCGTACCATCTCTTATTACTGAATTTCCTATAGCAAAACTGAGAGAGACCCCTAAAAAACCGCAATGTATCCACATAATAAATGCATGCTTTTAGCTGCAGTGTATCTTACAGTCACACATCCCAGGGAGCTGGGATTTAGCTACAGCTCTCTGCTGGCAACCATATGTTTGTTGTCACATCATGTGTGAACTAACCCTCAGAGAAGACAGCAGGGCGCAAGGCAGAACAATGGCATGTCTCAGTATGATGCAGTTCCTTTTAGCAGAGCAATGAAATTTCCCTGTTTGTAGAAAACAGTGGCGCTACTTTTCCCAAACACATACTGTATTTTTCGCTCTATAAGACGCACCAGACCACAAGATGCACCTAGTTTTTGGAGGAGGAGAACAAGAAAAAAAATATTCTGAATCCCAGAAGACAGAACACCAAGAGCTGTTCTGGCTTCTGGGATAGCTGTGCAGCCTGCATTCGCTCCATAACACACACACACATTTCCCCTTACTTTTTAGGAGGGAAAAAGTGCATAAAATAGTGTATATGCTGTCTCATGGGCATATCATTCCAGAGGTCCACTTGTGCTGGAAATTCCTGTTAGGAACACAGGAAGATGGCAAATACTGAGTCAGACCACTGGTCCATGCAGCTCAGTATTGTCAACACTGATGGGCAGAAACTTCCCAGGATTTCGGGCAGGTGAGATTCCCAGCCCTACCTGGAGATGCTGGGGGTTGAACTTGAGACCTTGCGTATGCAAAGCTGATGCTCTACCACTGAACCACAGCCCTTTCAATATATGGGGCATATTTATATCTTTGTTTCCCTCCTGTTTATTTTGCTGCGCATCCCGTTGCAGTTGCAGTATGTCTAATGCTTCAGCTGCCAATAAAACTTGCAAGAATGGGCAGCAGGGTTATGGGAGCTGTTTCGCTTTTTCACATGGAATTAGATGAAGTCAGAAAGAAAAGAGGCATCTAAAAATAATGCCCTCGACATTCTACGTGCAGATGACTTTCTCTGATTTTCCACTGACCTGCTGCTGTACTTCCTTCTTAGCATTAATAGCAAAGCAAAGCACTGGAAGGGCTCAGTACTTTTCCATGAAAGGATGAGCTCTCTGAGAGCAACACTTTATATCAGAGGAGGAGGAGGAGGGTGTATCTGACCTGGCTCTATTTCAGAAAACAGCAACTGAAATCCTCGTCTGCCTTTTCTGTTGACATTGCAGTCTCTTTATCTCACCAGTGATCTTCATGCTTCATTAGCAGCTGGGAACAGGGGAAGGGGTTGGGAAAATGCATAGGTGTCTTCCAAACTGCAGCCAAGCTTCTGCCAGATTTACTGCTCTGATTTCCTTTGGACCACATCAGCAAGGTCAAGAGGGGGGGTCTTGTCATCTGGGCATCTGTGTATTGAGGTCAGTACACACTGCCCAGGCTTACACCCAGGGAGGTCACTGGTACCGCTAACTCAGCAGTTTGATTTCACCCCAGGAGGCACACTCCATGTCTCTCGAGACAGGTGGTGACCAACAACTTTCAAACTTCAGTGGCCGAAGGGAAAATAATAATGAACCAGACACAAAAAATAAAGAGCATATGCCACTTGCTACAAAGGTGCCCCAAGTCTTTATATGGCATGATCCTGCACTGTAGGAAAAACCCTAGGCCTCTATAGCATTGGAATTTTAACCCACCTTTCATTTTAAGGATTAATAGGCCATTATGAGAAACACTCCTTTGCAGGAAGGTTGTTAGAGGGTGGCCAGAGTCTTTTGCACTGCGTCCTGGATCTCCTGCCTCTTCCTCCTTTGAAAACTTTGCTTACCATTCAGGGCGACTGAACACTACTTTTATCGTCTTAATTTGCCCAAAGGCAAATTTGTGTCATGGGCCTGTTCCCCCATGTCTTTTAGTATCTCGCAATGTCCCAGCAGTGAGAAGGCTCATTCAAATTACAATGTTCCTTTGGGCTTCATCATTCTGCATTAGAGCCTTCTAGGTGACAAAAGCATCTAGGCCAACCAAGCAAATATTTTAAACCACTTGTGTGGGTAACATAAAGACACAATTAGGGTACTTGTCCAATGAAAACATTCCACTTACATAAAACCAACTATAATCTAAAAACAGATTGAAACCTACTTTCACATTCTACATGTTAGGGTAGGTTCTAAACAAAAATATTTTCGGCAGGCACCAAAAAGCGTGCAGAGAAGGTGCCTGCTTGATGTCAACAGACAGGGAGCTCTACAGTGTAGGTGCTGCTACACAAAAAGATTGATGTTTTACAAATGCAGAACAAATATTATGTGGCAGCTGTAACAGTGTCAATTCTGCTTATCAAAGTATTTGAGAAGGCATATATGGGGCAAGGCAATCTTGTAGGTAAACTGGTCCCAAGGTGTCACAGACTTTAAAGCAACAGCTTGAACTTGGCCCGGTACAAATTGGTAACCATGCAGATCTCTGAGCACAGGTGTTGTATGCTGACAAGGCCTCACTCCTGTCAGCAATTGTGCTGCAGCATTCTGTGCTAAGTGCAGGGAAGCCCCGCGTAAGAATGCATTGTGGTAATCCAGCCTTGAAGTCGCCACGTTCTCCCAGTCCAGGAATGGTCATCGCTAATGTACCATTTGCAGTACATCATTTGCAGTAGCATTTCTGGGCTACTTGAGCCTCCAGTGGATCCAGAAACAATGGGAGAAAAACAAATGGAACTAATTCGCAGCTGTGGTGGCACTGGTGTAAATTTCTCCCAGGTTTGGGAGCATGCCAGAGAGGGAGATTCAATGTATCCTGTGGCCCCTGGTATTCCCACTTAGGATGGGAATGGGGTAAGATTGAAGCTTCCATACTGTTGTTATTTTGGGGTGGGATTCTGTCACATACCAGCAAATTCTGGTTGCTCAGTTGAAGTTGAATTGGAGCTCTTGCACAACAATCCAATTCCCCTACAAAATCAGGCTTTTTGCAATGAGGAAAGCGACTGGGAAATGCATTGGAAAGTATAAGACAGCATTTCCTGTGTTCAGTGTTGCATAGCCTCCTCACAAACATGCTCAGTAAATAGCTGATATAATCTAATCTCCCTGTGAACAAATCAGGATAAATGCTCAATAAACAGGTTGTCTGGAAGCAACATAAGATAAAAATTAGCCATAGTCATTGAGGTTCAGTCAAAGCCAACAGAATTTGACCAACGATTCCTTGATATTTGAACCAGACCAATTTGCTTCCCCTTTATGTGATTTTGACAGATCTTAGGAATAGGGATGTGAATCAAATCATGAGTTTTGACAGATTTGCCCTAACTTTGAGAGTTATTTGAAATATGCGTTGCTTTTACCACATGTTCATTCCAGCTCTTGGATTCTTCCATTTACAGTAGAGCAAAATTAAAGGAAGCCAAATTTAACACCAAAAAAGTTGAGCTTGTTATTCCAAATCCTGTCACACAGATCCCCCTTTGTAACAAAAATATGAAGGCATTTTTTATTTTTAGTGTGTTTGTTTCGCAGCTCACATTTTTTTACAATATCACACAATACTAAAGATTAACTTTGAAGTTCTATAGCCCAAAGCCAGGGCCTTTCATGAGACAACACATAATACAAAGAGATTGACCTTCAGGGTATCAGATGAAGATGTTATAAAAATCCTGTGTTTACTTACAATTAAACTCTTGTTTATGAACCAAGGGCTATTCTGCAAAAAGAAAAAAAAAGTACCACTGGAAAACTCCTCCCATGACTTCTGATGTCAATGTAAGCTGGGTAGCCACAAGACACTTTATTATCAAGATCATATTGAGAAGACAGAGGTAGAGAACTGCCTGGTGTTGTGAACCTCCCTGTGATCTTAAGGTGAAGGGTTGTATACACTAATAATAATAATAATAATAGCAATAGCAGCAGCAGCAGGATATCATTAATGCTGTATTGTTTTTAACACTTGATTGGAAGCCACCCAGAGCAGCTGGGGAAACTCAGCCAGATGGGCGGTGTATAAATAATAAATTATTATTTATTATTATTATTATTATCATCATCATTATTATTATCATTATTATCATTATCATCATTATCATCATCATCATGTAGTATATTATTCTGAAAATATGCATGAGGTGTGCTTCCATCAAAAGGAATCAGCAAAATGAACTCGTTATCTATGAAGGAGCATCAGTGTTTTCATTCCAAGCCAGAGACTTAAAATTATGAAGATTCACACACCTCTGAATGGTGTTGTCTGGAGGAACAAAAAGTCTAAGCAAAAAATTACTGTCCAAAATAACGTACTTAATATCATCATATTTTTTTTGGTAAGTCTTCTCTCTTCTAATCAGATCCTGGTCTACTGCCACCTCCCCCTTAATTGAGCCAGGTAGATTCACTGGCATTTCTTAACGAAACCTTTGGCACAATGACG